GTGACAGACCGACGACACGGAGTGTGTATTGTGGACATAATATTACTGCGAGATTTATATAAATCGTCAAGTAGAAAACAGATATCACTGCTCCATCTAAGGAATGCATAGATATCTGACATCTTACTTGAAATATTAGAAAAACTGAAAGTTGCTAACTTCTGATGTACAACCTATGCATTTTAAAATTTTAATGTAATATAATTTTTTCAATCTATAAAACGAGCGTAGGTGAAGAAGAGATCGCAATGGCAACAAAACTGACATTTCAACTGATTATATGTAACATGAGTTCCCATGGTGGTATCGTAAATACTTCATACGGTTCCTATAATACTCATGTACTTTTTCTCCGTACTTACCCGCCATCTTGGTTCTTCTTTCGCGGGGTTTCCCATATACAGTCATGCGCAGTTAAACCATATCAGCCTCGTTTTGAAACTACTGTCTTCGAGATTCCCGTGCCTGGTAATGATTACTTTATTTTGTCGTCATATTGAAACAGTTCATTATGTTGATGTCTATCCATTGGACTTATTCGATACACTCATAAATTAAATTAAATTAAAATAAATATTAAGACGTGGTGTCGCTGTGAGTGACATCATCAAAGACCATCCCTATTTGGACGATACCAAATCTCCCAAATATCAGAGGGGTGTGATTCAGAGTTGCAAACACGTAACACGTCCAATGTATTGGGTGATTTTAACGTCCATGCCAGGGCTTTTGATACGTTTGTTTATTTTTTACAAGCTTGTTAACAATTTAGATTGCTTAATGTGGCCAAAATGTTTTCGAGCAAAATAGTGTTGTCAAACGCCATTTTGCATCACGCGGAAAATTTAGTTTTAACCAATCAACGGTAGACGATCACATGCTCATAGCCATATAAGGGAAATAATAAACATAAACAATAGGAATGCAAAGTGTGCGAAATGTACGACTTGACTGAGGAGAGGTTGATGTCGGACTAGGTTGGTTGGGATAGCTTGCATTCTTGGCATGTTTTGAGATATTTTGCAAGCCTTCTTCACAAAACTGAACAACTGTCCGGTTACCTAGATTTGATAGATGTTTGCTTGTTATATTTTAGGGTGTAACATTCGCTAGATCCACCGAAAATATGGGTAATTCGCAATCAGCCACGTGTGATGCACCGAAGGTAAGTGAAACTGGACGTCAAGGGCGCCGGGGATCATCTGGTAGTCAAAACTAATCGTCTACGTCGGTGTTATTTCCGTCATAATTTAGCGGTTTGCCAAGCCACGTATCTATCGATAATATTTATTGTATTTTTCTGCAGGGTCGGTGGCTGATGAAGCGAGCAGATCCAGTGCAGCTCCGTGACATATTTTTGAAGGTGAGATGTCTGGGGTATATTCTCGCTGCAACTTAGTTGCGAGGGGGCGGGCATTTATCGCGTCTGGCAGCTTACCGGAAGTTGTGAACAGCTGATCACGTTCCGTGTCAGCTGCCGGTGCGCGAAGTTTGCTCGTGATTTTCTGCCGGTTCATTCAAGGCAATCGCGATTGATTGTAGTATATTGTAGTTAGATATTAATGTTCATCTGACAGTGACACTGCCATAACATTATCCCAGAGCGTGATCACATATCTTTCTCGCTCTGGTGACTTGCGTTGTCAATGTCGACATGACATTTAATATAAATGATACAAGTTTTATTCTTTCAAACATCGCATTTTGCCACTGTATACATCATTATCCCTACTCAAAGTGGTTCCTCTCTTTCTCAAATATGTATTGGCAAAATGACAGCTTTGAGCATTGATCTCTCAAATCGAGGCAACCTGATTTGAGGTGATTGACTTGTGGAGGGGAAAGTTCATACTATTTTCTTTAAAAGTTATCACTTTATTTTCCACAGAGTTTTCTGTTGTAGTATTGTGTGGCAATTACTGTAAGCAAGTTTGACAAACTTATTTAAAATTGTCTGTTTTAATGTTCCTAATATTTCTACTATGAAACACTCAATTGTTTTAATTTAAACCCTTTTATTTTTTCCAACCTAACTTGCAGTGCAGTGTTTTGATCATTTTTAGGTATTTTTCTATAATTTCTTTGTTGATTTTGTACCATTAATTCCAATTAGTAATCTCCATTCACTACGAGATATTGCTTGAAAAACACAAACTGAACGTCTGCCACAAAAAATGTTCCTAAGTACAAAAGTGCACTGAAATAAATGCAGTGATTAAGAATTGATGTTAAAACTCGTAAAATCGTGAAAATATTTAGCCGAGTGGAATGGTCCATCAAATAAAATACGAATAAACGACTTTGCGATTCCACTGCACTGTTAACCCTAATTTGGCAGCCATTATAAATTGAAAAATTGGTTTTCAAATATAAATTTTCCATAATTCAACAACTAGTTTGAATATCCCAACTTATTTTTTCAACTTTCAAATTGCCAGCCACGGTGAATACTGTGGAATACTGGTACTTTATTTTCGTTGGAATTAATTTTTGCTGAAAAGGCATTTTGAGCGTTTTATATGGAATTTATATGGAGTTTAATGTGAAAATGAAATATAAAGTATATTCGCTGGATTTTATTTTCATGGAATAATCCTTCAGTGAAAATAAATTCAAAGCAAAAATAAAGTATTCTACAGTAATTGAGCAAAATTTGTGTTAAATGTTAATTAGTTCATCCATAACAGATTTAAACTCATTCCTACATAAGTAAATCACTTTTCACTTTAATCTACAGATTTTAAATACATTCTTACAGGCAGTCACATTGTTTACATTTTTGCCAACCAGCATGTGAACGTGTGAAAACAAATGTCACTCACTGATTCAACATACATACATACATGCAGGCTCGTTATCTACTGTGATAACATTTCCCATAAGTTTATTAACATTTATCATTTAGTATGAATGACCGGTTCTTGCCAACATGTCACTGTGTGCATTCTGATAGTCAAAACAAAGATTCTGTGGTGCACTCGAGATGCATCATGGAGTGCAATTTGCATGCAGAAATCCAGTTGTCATATTTCATTCTATACTCCTGGACCCCCAGTTTAAGTAATTAGGACGGGCACTGTATGCCACCAACCCCTGAATTAATTCGTTCATCCATTTGTCCAGGGCTTGAACTTCAGCTTTAAAAGGGCACCCAGATTCTGGGATAAAGTTTATAAAATTGCCCTGGCCCATTTGCCTTAGAATATCTGTGAAAGTAAAAAGAAAAGGAGTCACAGCCAAAATAATCCTCCTAAACTTCTTTTGTATTTGTCAAGTTTAATCCCATAATTCCCTTTGTCTTATTGTTCTTTCACCCCTGAATCGCCGCCGACGCCTAATTTACTCTCAAGCGTTGCAGCGTACAGTACATACTCCAATGTTTTGTTTTACGGTGTTGCAGTAAATGTCAAAGGACATAAATCATGCACAGATCTTTTATACATAGAGGAATCAAGTTTGTAAGAATGGGAAAGTTTGAATATTGAAAATCGGAGAATTTCTTGTTAAGTTCATGTCTTCTGAATTGAAGGATATAGCAGTTTTAGTTAGCATCATAGTCAAACTCGTGCACGTTATCGATCTTCGCCATATTTGTTTATAAGATTTTGACTAGAATTGTCACGAAAATCACGCAGTGCTGCCGAAGGCGTCCGTAATATACTAATGCATGGTAATCCTGGAAAGGAGGGAGGAAACTGTCCTCCTTGGTCCGTTGGGCAAATAAACTTCCTGTTCTATGTACAAACAACGCCGACCATCCTAGTACTTTTGCTTTAAGCTTGGTTGTGACTCCTTCTCTTTTTACCTCCATGGAATAACATAAAAAATATGCATATTTCCCAAAGGACACCAAGGTTTAACAGGTAGGACTTCTTGGCAATTGCTTTTATGCCTCTGTGAAGTTCAAGCCCTGTTTGTATATTCGTCAACTTGGTGTAATAAATAATCTGTTGAGGTAACTGATACAAGTAGGATTGTCAGATAACATCCATAATCTGCTCCTGCTTCTATCAGTTCCCTCGGCTGATACTTATCTAGATTGCACACTGACTGCAGTCCTGTGGTGACGCCAACCTGAGCAGGGTAGGGGTGGGTTCATGTGAAAACAAAAGGTGGGGAAGGGTCTATGTACTCAAGGTTTTGCATGCTCTGCTTCAGTTCAGGCTTGATAGGGAAGGTAAGCTAAATCTCTAGATGTTTGGCATGTCAATCTCAATTTTTTTTGGTAATTTTTGGATTTTTATTTTAATTGGTATTTACTCATTTCGTACCACTTTCGCTTCATATTACAAGAATTAAAAAACAATTTAAGAAATTGGCAAAAACGGACCTTGTGCCCTGTTGGTGCAAGAATAAACAGATAAAATGTTTTTGTGAATACGTCTAACAGGACAGTAAAAGTGTCTTTGTAAATGCTTGATTTGTGAATGAGTTGCATCAAAAAATATGTCTTTTTCATGCCATGGAAATTGGTTTCCAATGAAGGTCCCTTAACACACTAGTTCTTTGCATACACAAGTTGAATACTTTTCTCAAATACTGTGGAATACTTTATTTTCGCTGAAAAAGGCTTTTTGGGCATTTTGTATGGAATTTATTTTCACTGATTTCTGATGAGTTTATTGTGAAATGTAGGAAAAAAAGTATATTTGCTGAATTTTATTTTCACGGAATCATCCCTTCAGCAAAAATAACGAAAATAAAGTAATCTACAGTAAACTGTCATGCAGGAATATAGAAAATAAAAACTATGAAAGATGAAGGCTTGTTTATCTGGTAATTTTGTTGTGAGATCTTCATTGCATGTCATCGTGGTTACTTGCCCTTATCTTTATTTAGCTTTAGTTGTATATACGGTACATTAAAGCAACTTTTTTATGGTTGTAAATTTTACTGTCTTTGATTACTAAAAAAGTATCTTAGAAAAGTTATAAAATGCATCTTAATCATTTGATTGGTCTCATTTGGTACTTTGGTTTGTGTTTTAAGGATGCCAAGTACGACGTCTGGCGCAGTGGTCACAACCGACTTGCATCCCGATAGATGATCAATTATGATTGACAAGCCACTTTTACCTGTCACACGTTTCCATTCATATTGCAATACAGTGCGTTGTTTTACACTACCAAACAAATCTTGAAAAAATATTTTTTTTCGTAAGTCGGTTTGTTTGTTTGTAATTATTTACAATAGATGTACATCATTTGTTTGTTAATTACAGTATGCCAGCATTTCAAAAGTCGGGGAGTATTACATGACGTCAAAAGATTTCATCAGGAACTATCTTGGGATGCACAAGGAAGGCGATTCTGATCCGTACATTATCGACTTATTGGGTGCAGCCGTGGACCAAACTAAAGATGGGTAAGTGAACATGCCCTCTACCTCTTCCACCCTTTGGTTTAAGCAATTGTCTTCTTACCGTCAAAGATAACATTGAATACACCACGGCAGGGTGAATTTTAGTTGAAGTACACATGGACTGTGTGTGTGACACAAACCACCAAACACATATAGCAGCAAATTGCCTAGCTACCCAACTTTCATCCACCCACTGACTGGGCCATTCTCAAAGACAGAGCTACGTCACGATCCCCCAAACGTTGCCAGGACCAATTTCAAACAAGAACAGACAATGAATTTTCGGATTAACACCTCTGTTGTCCCCACGCTACTGAAAAAATGTTTTGGTCTTCTGCTGACTTCCTGTTACGTTTGCTTAATTACCAAACTAATTAGATGCTATGTATTCAAATTTATTTCTATGATTTACTATGTTAGCAGCTACTGTGAATTTACAATGTAAATAATTAAATGTGAAATAATTAATTCTAATCGTTTATTTTTGTCAATAGGTTGATCTCATTTGAAGAATTTAAGGATTTTGAAGCTCTCCTGTGTTCCCCAGATGCTATGTATAAATTAACTTTTCAGTTATTTGATACAAATGGATCAGGATTTGTATCTTTTAGTAAGTAATTTTTGAATGAAGATTGCCTTGTTTTTATTCTATTAAGTGTTTTTATGTTGCAAAACTTCACAGACATTGATGTTCAAGGAGTTTGTTTTGGGTGCCTTTTTTTGGTGATTTTCTGTTATTCCTATTTGCTACTGCCATTTTATAATAAATTTTGACCTTGAAATGGGTGTTCTTTTAAGTTCAACCCCTGAAACTGCACATGTAGTGTGTGTGTTTTTTTTATCAACTGGCATATACTAAATGCAAATTTTTGTTTTATGTGTGTTTTATTGGAGGTGTGCTTCTAATAGTAAGTATGCTAAGTATGGTATTTTGATTCCTGGAATTATTGATTACCATGTTTGTTTGTTTGTTCTTTCTTTCAGGTGAATTCAAAACAGTTTTTAGTCTAACAGAAGTACATCACCAAGTACCGTTCAATTTTGATTCAAGATACGTTTTATTACATTTTGGCGAAGACCGAAAAAAACATCTGTCATACCAAGAATTTACACAATTTTTACACGTAAGTGTTCAAAGTAATCTTGTTTTTATGTAATTTTCTCGTCTAAATATTGATACGTTTATGAAAGTGTTGTAAACTTCTTGATTTAACATTGAAAACTGATTGTATAATTTTCCACAATTGACAAAATCTAAGTTTTAGTTCAAAGCAAAGGAGTCGTCACCTACGCATACGTCAGGTGGCCATAGCGCGTCATTGTTTACAAACAAATGTCTACCCATGAGCCTTTGCGTTCTTAGCGTGTGTTGTAATCATGGCTTAGGACTTGCTTCCTGCGTGTGCGCAGGTGACGACCCTCCCGCTTTAATTGTGTGTTGAAAAAAAACACAAAAAAAGAGCAATCCATTTTCTGTCAAAATCATTCAAAATGATTTGCATATTCGTCGATATTTGAACCATGAAATGGATACAAAGATCGTAAACTACGTTGTTAGTTCCCAACATTTATACGCACATTGCATGACTACTGGCTTCCTAATTGTTACCTTGCATAATGGTCATTTGCCATAAGCTTATTCTCATACATTACTTTGATTTTTTGTTAAAAATGACCCGATCAATTATACTGCAGTTTTAAATGTCACATACTAAAACAATGTTATTCTACAATTAATGCTGTCTTGAGCTGTAATTATGCTATGTCAAATAAGTGACTTGTCCTGCTTAGCAGTAGAATAGCAGTTTATAATATCTGAAGTTAACATGCAATCAAAATATAAAAGTAAAAAAAAATTAGATTCTGATGTTGATACTCTTTTCAGATTTATTCCATGAACAGATTATAGAAATTGGATAGTCAGATGGGTGCTTCATTCAAAAAAACAAAATGAAGTAGTGCATTAGTCTGTTGTCTTTCAGGAAAAAGTGTCTTATATGATGTATACCTGCTGCATTACTTCACCCACCTGGATTAGTTAATGGCCATCCCTGGAAGTTTTCACCCACTACATTTCTTCACACCCCTACCATAGATAATAGACTACTCCAGAAATTCACTGCTTTACACCCCTAGAATAGATAATGGACCATCCCTGAAGTGTTCACCCACTGCACTGCATTACACCCTCAAAATACATAATTGACCACCCCTGAAGTGTACACTGTCTACACTTATTTTTATCCCCACAATAGATATTGAAACAACCCTTAAAAACGTTCACCCTCCATAGTGCTTTCCACCCCCACAATTCAAAATGGTCCTGACTGTAGTCCAGTAATAAATAACCTTCAAAACACTGCAGGTCACATTCTTGTAACATGCAACCTTTGTAGCTCCTATGATACATCTCTCATTATGAAATGAGTTGACATTTCGACCCCATTTCCCTCATAAACATCACTGTGCACTGTGTGGTGGTGTACCAAGGGAGTTGACCTCTTGACGTCTACCAGTGTGTTTTGTTATACAGTCTACAGCAACCGCAGGACACGATTGTTCTCTGGTTACCCAGTCTGCAAATGATAAAACTATGTCTACTTATTTTATAATCCTATTATAAAATGTGGAACTACTGTCTTATGCAATGCAGAGAAATGTGATTGTGCGCAGTGTTGACTGACTTTTGACAGAGAAATTTCCTGGAATTTTTAATTGGTTGCCCTCTGCGAGTGCCATTTCTCCTTATTTAAAACTTCAAAGCCAAAATTTGAGTTTCTCAAACTGTGATCCACATTGCTACAATGCATTGATCTATTGTGCTATTTGAAATAATTAGATTAATGCAAATGATCTGCCGAATGCCATGATTTTTCCCGCTCAAATTTTGTACATCTTTTAGGATATTTTGCTAGTTTCTTTGTTCATTCTGGACCAAATGGACATTTTTTCTCATTGCCAATAGGATTTATTAAAATGTATGGCAAACTATTTAATACATTATGTTACAATGACTTTGGTGTTTTGAACTTAAACGATGGTGGTCTACGTGCTGCGTCGTATTTGATATGGGACTCGTAGTGACATACACAACACATGTAAAATACTTTCTTTGTTTACATGAAATTTAAACATGTGCTGTACGACGACCACTGCCCTTTAATAATTCAAAACAAATATTACACATGTCATATAGTTATACAGTTTCATATAATTTTTTGACATTTGTATCTTGAGCGTAGTTTAAGTAAAAACATAAAGCAGCGGCTCTGCAATCCCCTGGATTACACAATACATGATGGGAAATTTGAATGGCCTGTTCATCGTCTATGTATACAGACGTAATCAGCGGTGTTAATCATGGAGTATAGTTTGTATACTGAAATCAGGTCAACGTTTTTCCTTTTATACCTCTAGACCAATAATTCAACTTAATCAAGCAGCACTAATAGACATGTACTTATGTCTCCAAAAATCTATAAAATTGTCATTAAAATTCAGCTAAAGCTGTGTGTATGCCTGTTCCACTGATATCTCAAGAACCAATTATCAGATTTTAATGAACTTGCTACGTAGATGCATGATGATCAACCCCAATTAGTTTGTGGTTGAAATCTGCATATTAATAACCTAATTTACATATTAGGGGATATTGCTCAGACCTGATAAGTTTTTGGTTACAATCCTTTGCATATCAATGATCTAATGGTTCATATTAATGATTAATGATCAAACTGCTTGAAGTATAATAATACTGTTTTTTTTCCTTCAGAATTTGCAAGAGGAGCATGCGAGGCAAGCGTTTATAAGTTATGACGAGCAGAAGAGAGGAGTTATTAACTCTTTCCAATTTAAGACAATAATGTCAACAATTAAAAAGAATTTACTTACACCATTTGTTGAAGAAAATCTTATTTCAGTGAGTATCTCTGTTAACATTTCCACTTGCTAAATTGTTTCTGTCGAAATTGAGTTTTCATACGTTTTTGGGTATTCTGCCATCATACCAATTTTTAAGTGTTGCCTGAAAATTCGCATAGAAGTTTGAGAATTGAATCAAAACTACTTCCACTACTGTAGTACTAGACTGACCCATGCTCGACTACCCTCGCAATTTATATTTTGAGGGTTCAAGTCAACTTTTATCCCTCCTAAACGCTCACAAATTTGACATAAAGTCCTAAAATCTGGTCATTAGATTTTGGTGCGTATGCCCTATAAGGTAATTGGTTGTTTATATTGCTTTGATATATTTGCTGTATCCACTTGGAGCGATGCTACATTTGACCCTTGACCCTGAATGTCTTTGGGTCAACATGTGCAAAACAATTGTGAGTTATAAATTTGTTTGTATAATAATGTATATTATTTGTGTGCAGGTTGCTGGTGGGGAAACCACGCATTTGGTTAGTTTCCCGTACTTCAATGCTTTCAACTCGCTACTCAATAATATGGAACTAATTGAGAAAGTTTACCTTACAATAACAAGAGGATACGACAAAGCAGAAGTCAATAAAGGTGAGATAATTAAAGGCACATGTCTTGGCATGAGTTGGTAAGACAAAGCAGAGGTCAATAAAGATGAAATATTTAAAGGCACATGTCTTGGCATGAGTTGGTAAGACAAAGCAGAGGTCAATAAAGGTAACGTATTTAAAGGTCTATCTTATGACCTTGTATAATATTTTTGTCGAGCCTGCAGTTTGTAACTTAAATTCTTTGATTTACTTTGCAGAGGAATTTTTACTGGGAGCCCAACAGTTTTCTCAGATTACGCCATTGGAAGTGGACATTTTGTTTCATCTCTGCGTGTTGGACCATGCAACTGGGTGCGTAATGATTTCTCTTCAATAACATTATAATTTGGTGACAGTTAAGCAAGTTTACGAACTCATTTTTCTAATATTATTGATCAACTCTCAAAAAAAATATGACCTTCATGCGTCAGTCTGTGCCCTCATCTCAGAGATGCCTGGGTTAATTTCATTTAAACTTGACACGTACATAAGTGCATGCATTTGTTTCATGATCGAATTCAAGTTCGCCGAATTGTGGTTATTTTAGTGCTAATAATTCTTCCAAATTGAGCAATTCTGCTATTACGGAATTGGATGTCGGTCGTGCATAGTCATATTTCTTTCAAACTTGTATGCCCATTAAACAAAGGGTTGTTGATGCCCCCCCCCCCCCCCAAAAAAAAAAAAAAAAATTTGTTCTAAATGGCTGACTGGTAGCCATTTTGTTTTGGCTTTACACATACATCATTTATATAACTCATTTGCACATGCATGTGTTTCAAAATCTGATTCAAGATGGCTGATTGTCATTTTCGTGCTAGAAATGCATTATGAATGTGATGGGCAGAGCAAAAATAGAATCACACAAATAAACTGGTTCCACATGAGTAAATAATAATTTTGGCACTAATACTTTTTATATAAATATATCTCTAATCTGTAGCGTAATGTTGTTCGGCGTACTATAATAGTTAGCTGTGTTGTTTTATTACAGACACATTACAGGTACCGAGATTGATAAAATCAAACCTCCGGATGAAAGCGTTAAGCGATTGCAGCAACAACAACCTAAAGGGGAAACTCATCGTAGTCCTTTCTTGGCCATGGCTGAATCTGGATATAGGTTTTTCCTTGGTGGAATTGCTGGAGGTATGTAATGACAAACAAACAGACAAACAAACGCTTCTGTGACTTCTTTTCTGGGTCAGTACAAGGACCATTAGTGGTTAGGTACAATGTAATCTTAATGACAAATTGATTTACAATAAATTTATCTTTGAGAACAATGTTTCTTTTACAGAATTCTTGACCTTTTGTATATTAATTATCCCTGCTGGCAATTGGGTAATTTTACTGTTTGGCTAGTGTCCATCAAGTGTCTAGCGTTAAATTTTTGAAAAGTTCTATTTGAATTGTGTGAATATTCATTTTGTAGATCCCTAGGGAGTTACCTCATTTCAATTTGTACATTTCATAATAAAATCTTCTATATAAAAACCACCAGCCTGATTCGTTGATATTGTATATGCAAGGACCTAACAATTTTGGATTTGTTGGTTTTTTGATTATATGAATCAATTTTGTGAATATTGCCATTCTATGTAAAAAATGATATTTTCAAATCACTTTTGAAAACCACAAGCCTGATTGTCGGTGGGTAATTTATGACTGCCTGAACTGAGTTGACACTGTTTTTTAGTTATTTGTAGCGTGTAGTTTGAATTTTTTGTAAACAATGTAATGTGAACTTGAATTTGGCGAGATAAATGTCTGCGAGTCTGTGAAAATCATGAGATTTTGTAGCAGAGAAAATTTTTTTTATTTGCAAAGTTTTCTCTAGGAATTCCATAGGAATTTCTCTAGGAATTCCAATTCAAATTGCAAAAATAAAAAAAGTTTACAGTAATGACACTTAACCAATATGAAACTTGTCCTGCCCTTTTATATACAAAATAAAAATAGATGGGTTTTACTTTTTTGACAGCTACGGGAGCCACGGCAGTTTATCCTATTGACTTGGTGAAGACAAGACTACAGAACCAAAGAACTAGTATAGTTGGGGAATTGATGTATAAAAATAGTTATGATTGTGCAATAAAAGTTATAAGACATGAAGGATTTCTCGGTCTTTACAGCGGTAAGTTTATAGAATGAATCAAACATAATGTTTTACTGTAAATGCATTAATTATTTGGTGGTTTTTAACATCGCTGTTCTCCCTAAAAAAATAAATTCACTTAAATAAATCCATGTGAACGTGCCATTTGGAACATGCAAAATAAAAATATAACTCATTGATTCCCTGTCAAGTTTGTGAACTTGAAACGCAGTGAATTTGCACCAATTAAAAGCCAGTGAAAATAAATGGTTTTACAGTATTTCAATTATTTTTATCATGGATTGGACTGTTTACCCAAAATTATGCCAACATGACAATGTGTGTGCTTGGTCTTCATTTTTAAGTCCCTTTGGCATGGTACAGTGGTCAGCGAGTTAGTATCACATCTGTGAGGTTGTGGATTTGATTCTCCAGCCAATCACTGAAAAGGTGGCATAAGATGGTGATGGCTCTTTATCTTCCAGACCTGTAATCAGTCCAATGCAAAAGACGACGCCTTGCTTTTTCATGTTTGTCGGCGTATTCTGGAAATTGTTACCAGAAGCTTGCATAGAAGTCCAGATAATGCTTGTCTGCTTTATTATTATTACCCTGGACAAGTTTGAATGACAGTGATGAAAATATTAAAAAATATTGGCATTCTCTTGTGCGTTATTTGTTGGTTTGTTTTCTAGTGTAATTTGTATTCCAATGTCATTTTATCCTCTAGGTCTCATACCACAGTTAGTCGGCGTTGCTCCTGAGAAAGCTATAAAACTTACAATGAATGATTTTGTACGTGATCACCTGTCTACTCCAGATGGTACCATTCCACTCTGGGCAGAGTGCTTAGCTGGTGGATGTGTGAGTACTTTATTTGATTATCTAACTACATAATTGAAAAATTCATATTGGTATCTATATGTGTACATAAAAGCATTTGCAATAATTTTGCCAAAAAAAATTCTAAAAATTGTAATTTTTGCGTTAAATAGTGGTTGTGTTACTAATCAACGTTCCAATCAAGCTAATTCAAGATATCACTAATTTAAAGTGATATTATTGGCACTTTAGCTAAATCAAGATTCAGGCAGTTCACGCATTTAGTGAAATTCGCTAAAATGCCATGTAGCCTTTTTAACATGTTTTATAGTATTCTGGTTGGCTGCAATTCATTCTACTATAGACGTTAGACGCAAATCATGTTAGGAGTAAAAGAACCTTTGCCTCGTAAAAAGTGTTTTCTTCTCTCATTGCATCCACTCTCGCTCTCGGCAAGATTTTGGCGTCCATTTGTGTACCGGGTACATTCTGTGTAATAATATGATTCTTCTTATCCAGGCTGGTGGGTCTCAAGTGATGTTTACAAACCCGCTAGAGATTGTGAAAATTCGACTGCAAGTTGCTGGTGAATTGAGTGGTCCACGTATTGGTGCCGTTAGTGTCATTAAAAGCCTGGGTTTCTTTGGTCTTTACAAGGTGAGTAATAAAGGGGTTGTTGTCAATCCCTGGGATTCTATAATTACAATCAATGTCCACATTGTAAAAACTTCTGATTCCAACCTGTTCATTAGATATTCATTTGAGAGTCTACTTTTGATGTCCTTCGTAAAATAATCCTGCATAAATTTGTCTTCACTTTTTCAAACAATGTTGATCAAAATTGGTAGGAAATGGAAAATAATGTCAATTTGGTTCAAAATTAAGGAATAAATTACCAACAAATTTTGATTTTTTTTTGAAAAATGATTGAAGATGTATGCATGACTCTGACTATTATTTCCCATCATGCTTTTACAGAAAACTGAAACAAAGAGCTCAATTTCACCTCAAATCACACGGGAGCGCTTGAAAGAATCTCCTATTGTGTTTCATTTCAGGGTGCAAGGGCTTGTTTTCTACGAGATATCCCGTTTTCCGCAATTTACTTTCCTTGCTATGCACACATGAAGCTATACACAGCAAATTCAGAAGGTGTCAATGGTCCATTGTCGTTGTTGCTATCGGCTACAGTGGCAGGTAAGTTAATCAGAAACACTGTATTTGCTTTATTAGAAGTCCATCTAAATTTGTTGTATGCTGAATCATTAACCTACTCGTACTACGTCATTTTAAATTTTCCCATAGAAAATAAATCTAAATGTAAGCACGTGCTCAAGTGAGATACTGTGGAATACTTTATTTTCGCTGGAATTAATTTTCGTTGATAAGGCTTTTTGGGTGTTTTGTATGGAATTTATTTTCACTGATTTTTTGATGAGTTTAATGCGAAATACAGGAAAATATTCGCTGGATTTTAATTTCACGGAATCATTCCTTCAGCGAAAATAGATTCCAAGTGACAATAAAGTATTCTACAGTATAGGGGTTCTGGTATGACCTCCACTCTCACTTAAATATTGCAACATTTACTGACTTTTAGTGAGATTTATAGATGAATAATTACATTGAGTTATTTTTGTACAAATTTTTGTACCAGTGAACAATTTACCTAGGTTCTTGACTGCTAAACAGGGATTTTTTTTAAACGAGGGAACAGGGGCGCAGCGCCCTCATGCCATGGCCATGCGCCCCCTTACCCTGTGGAGCAGATTCTCTGGCAACCATAAAATTCTAATTGACCAGGAATCACATGTGGCCAGTGTCTTCAACTGTGACCTGTCTGATGGTAATTTTGGCCCCAACGAAGCCATAGAATGTTTCATTTCAACTTAGAATTATCAAAAACAACACAACCCTGGTCGGGAGAACCCCATCTCCCCCACTTGGTGGCACCGCTGAATTGCAGTGCTCCCTCTTGCAGTTTTTTTCTAGAAAAACCCCTCTATTATACTTATTGGTCCTGACAACTTTTATCCATTTACTACAACAATAAGTGGAAAGGCATGGATGCAGTTGTCATTTAGTGTTGACATTTCATGCGAGGCATAAGCAAGAATTTTCACTTCTTCATGTGTGTACTACATAAATGAACCGTTTTATTGTGTTAATTTCAGGTGCTCCGGCTGCAGCGTTGACCACCCCAGCTGACGTGATAAAGACAAGGTTGCAAGTTGTTGCAAGGGCTGGTCAGACACAGTACTCTGGTGTGATAGACTGTGCCAGGAAAGTCATGCAAGAGGAAGGCTTTATGGCATTCTGGAAAGGCGCACCTGGTAAGTCGAATCAGTGGCAGGTTAATCGTTCATGTTAATATTTTTGGTTGTAACATTTTGCAAATTTTTATGTATTTTTTCTATAATTTTTGGTCTAAATTGACATAAATCCCGTTAGCTACAGATCTTGATCAAAATTTGTGAAAAATTATCGAAATATTCATATGCATAATTTTTCCCGCAAAAATGTTGATGCTAAATTTTGCATATAATTATTATCTTGCTGTTAATGAGAATAATGGCAAGGTATTATTGTTTTAATACCATTTCCATAATTATGGTTATCATTGCAATATTTAGTAACTTTTGCTCAATATTTTTCAAACTTGCATATATTAGCAAAAAGTGTATATTCACACTTCACTTCAATTCTAGCTCATACATTATTGGTGAAAATGTGCACAACTGTTGTTAACATGTTTGATAACCTACTGTGAACAAATATTTTACAATATTTTCAGGTTTTTCTGATGCAGGAAGTTAAAACGCCTAAATCAACGAGTTTTCAGAATTGTGTATTGCTCCCTACATCAATACAGCGTTACTTGTATGTCAAAACTAACCTGTTGTTTCTTTATCAACAGCTCGTGTGTTTAGGTCTTCTCCACAGTTTGGTGTTACTCTAATGACATATGAATTGTTACAAAGACAATTTGTAATTGATTTTGGTGGAAAGTAAGTAATTTCTAAAATTTGATAACTGAATGTTATTAAAAGGTGGTGGTGCACTCTCTCAGTGGCCAACTTGAACGCTAGTTTTGATCTATATGCTATGTTGGACTAAATACTTACCTTGATTTTTTTAGATTCCTTTGATTCTTTCCAATCATTTCAAAAATTACCTAATTAAGCCTTGGAAACTCCTCTTTTTGTATTCATTGATCTGCTCAACATTGAAGGTCTCCTTCATGGTTTATATCAAACCTATATTTTGTGCATATGTTGGCGCGATGACCGCCGCCACCTTTATAATTTCCATAATTTTTTAATAAACGAATTTCAAAAATGATATAATGTTTGTTGGCTCCCAATTTTATGAATATTTAAAAATGTTGAGTAGGTATTTTATTTTAAGCTAAAATAAATTAAGGTTTTATAGCCATCATGCTGGTGTTATATCAGGATTTGAAATCGTCCAACGCTGGCAATGAATCTAACCGTAACATATTTCTTTTCTTCATTTTTTTTTTTAGACGTCCTGGTGGATCAGAAAGCAAAGTAGCGCCACACCTGAGTGACTTACCTCCAGTTAATCCTGACCATATTGGTGGTATGCGATTGGCTGTCGCTACGTTTGCCGGTGTAGAATCAAAATTCGGGTTATGGCTTCCAAAATTCAAACCAACATCGGTGGCACCAGTAGCAGCTGCTGCAGCAGCACAATAATACCGAACAATTCGACTCGCACGTGTGATGACCTTGTCGTATGACACTATATGGGAAATTGCGTTTGTGTCGTATATGACCAACCTGCTTGGCAGTCAACTGCTCTTGTTTAATGCCGGATTTTTGTGTTGATGTTTTGTCAGAAGGGGAAAAAAAAGGTTACAATTGTGTCTTCACCATGACAAACATCTCCATTAATCTGCAAGATTTTACAAAAATGTCAGTCTCAGTGTGATTTCATTTATTACCATAAAATTCTTCAAAGCAAGCACTTCTTTTATGATTTCATTTCTTCCCATAAAATTCTTCAAAGCAAGCACTTCTTTCACACCATTTTATTCTATCATTCCTAAATTGTGATCACATAATTACAATTTGTAGTTAATAATCACTATAGAATTACCGGTACTCTACTGTAAAAGCATTTATTTTTACTGGCATGTAATTTCACTATTTTCAAGTTTTGAGCAGTTTCACTCGGTTTTATTTTCACAAACTTGGCAGATAAACACTGAGCTCTATTGTGACTCTACATGTTCACATAGATTTAATTTAGGGGATTTTACTTATCAGTGAAATTAAAAACCGGTGCGCGATTAATGCGTTTACAATAATATAAAGGTGGTGTAACCAGACATCTTGCTTGGTGTTCTGTGCATCCATCTAAAAGCGTGCAGTTTTCGGGAATTGTTGCCAGATAAATATGCGGATAATACATTCAAATCACTTGGATAATTTCTGTGGTGTTAAAAAAATTTTTAATAGCTCCAAAAAAATTTGCATTTTTTCTTGGATACTCGTAGTGCTTATTTGAAGAATTTTATGGAAAGCATAATATATATATGCAAAAAAAAAAAAAAAATGAAACAAGTTGTTCACGAGTTACACTGATATTGAAATAATTAGTAAACCTACCTAAGGATGACAGTTGTGCACGTTTGTATTTTTGTGTTTTACACATTGCATTGGCCCATATTGAACCGCTCCGAAAGCGATGACCATATTGCTTTAATGGTAGATTCTGAGACTCGCTTGTAAAAATGCAGATAATTAAAAGTGCTACAATTTCTTGAAATATTGCTGTTCGAAAGATTTCATTGAATGAATGACCCCAAAAAAAAATGAAAACTATTACCCAAAAAAAAAGTGCATTTAAGTTGTGATTTTTCAATGGCGTCTTATGTGGCTGTCTGCTTGGGTTGAGAATTGGTCAAACAGCCAATCACTGGGAATGAGTTTCAAGAAATTATTTCATAAAAAGTGTACGAGCTGCATTGAGTGCCATAGCTGCTTCACAGCGTGCTTCCAAATTTTGTGTAAACATTGTTTATTGTGTATATCCACTGTTTGCTTTGCGTGGGACCAACACCAAACAAGACATAGTGTAACTAATGACTGGCGTTTGTGTTCTCTTTGTATTTATATTTGTATGATTTTTGTTTTGTTTTTGTGGATTCTTCATGGTCATTTCTGTGTTTTTTGTCGCTTTTTTCAAAACAGTCAGAATTTGAATAAGCTTAGAACTGAACCCCAAAAGGTCACACATCCTGGTTGTTTTGAGGGTATATGTATGCTTATTGCAAGTAGTTGAACATAGCAAAAATTAGGATATGATATTTGGAAATTATTGCCGCTATAAGGCAATATCCCCAGAAAGTGCCAGGATGTGTGACCTTTGGGGTCGTGTATGGTTCCAGGATGTGTCACCTGCAGGGGTCATGCTTAGTACCAGGATGTGTGACATTTAGGGGTCATGCATGGTACCAGGATGTGTGACCTTTAGGTGTCGTGCATAGTACCAGGATGTGCGACTTTTAGGGGCCATGCATAGTACCAGGATGTGTCACCTACAGAGTTCATGCATGGTACCAGGATGTGTGACATTTAGGGGCCATGCATAGTACCAGGATGTGCGACTTTTAGGGGTCATGCATAGTACCAGGATGTGTGACCTTTAGGGTCATGCATAGTACCAGGATGTGTGACCTTTAGGAGACCTGCACAAGGCATATCCAGAAGCATTAATTTTTTTGGAAATGCAAAAGTTAGTCTAAACACTTCTGACATCACTTTACAGTCTTGTGAATTATATTTTTGTTGAAATATTTTATGAAAACTAAACAGCCTTAACTTCTAAAACAAATTTTGCCCATCAGAACAAACTTTTGTGGTAGCAAAATTTTCATTGGAGGCAGGGAACCACTAGTACAAAATTGTTAAAATGTCTGCCGGCTCTGCCATACTACATTGAATTAAGATTGTGGTGCTAATTTCAATATGACATCGGAAATAGAAGTTTAACCATTAAAACCAACCCTTTTTGAAGATGATCCTGCCTAATTTTGTACATGTCCACTTAATCCAACATTAACGAAGAAATATTAGAAGAATACACCAAATGGTTCATAATTTTACAAATTTAGTTGAGGTATTTTTGTGCAGCTGATCTTGATGAGAGTACATGTGAAAAAGACGAATTGTGTCATGAAAAAATGAGGGGGACCCCCTGCCCCCCCATTTCAATTTTGGTGGGCCAGGAAGCTGAATTTGGAATTCTAAAATTCCTCAATTTGGTAGCTAACACCACACCAAACAAAATTGCGGTGATTTTTTTTTTGGAGGGTGGGGTTATGTTGAACAAAGTTATTAATTAAGGCAGTGTTTTTATAATTATTTGCAAATCTTGCCGTTTTTTGGATAGTCGTGTTAAAAAAAGCCAAAAAACTATAGAATCCAGAATCTATTTAATATTTCACTAACTAACATTTAACTAGTTTATAAAAATACAAATTTAGAGTAAAAAGAATTAGTACATCTTTAATGAATTCAGGAGCATGTTTACGGAACAAACTTTTTTATTTTATAACTCTCAGTACTACAGCTGGCATTATTGGGTTGGCGATGGACTATACGCTTACCGAATAAGGAATTCCCCATAATATTTGTCATTGTCGGCTGCCTGTTTTTGTCAAAATTTATGCATATGATTTTAGCGATCCCAAATTATGCACACAAGGTGAAAGATGATGTGCATGTTAATGTTATGCATGAGAAACCAATTTGTGTTCAAACAATTAATTTCCAGCCTACCATGTGGTTGCTATGATCAAACATGTAAGCCGTCTGACAAGATACCCGGTATATTGTCAGCATCTACCTTCTTTGCTTCTATGTTTATTTTCTCATTTTTACATCGATTAAAAAAAAAATGCAGCTGATGTTACTTTAATGCATTTGTTATTTAAAACCTGCTGTAAAATGACTAATTTTCACTGGGTTTAAATTTCACTGATTTGCCATTTCAGGCATATTCTTTGGATTTTAAATTCACGGTTTTATCATTTAGATGATGTGTTCTATGCTAAATTTTACATATTCACTGGGTTTTAATTTAGCGCATTTTCCAGTCAGCGAAATAAGCCAAATTAAAACCCAGTGAATAATTAACCCCTTTACAGTAATTTTTATGAACCCTGATATGAATATTTGTTACCTTTCTTGTGATTGGCTAGCTGATATGTAAGCTTTGTTTTCATTCGTTGAGCGATAGGCATTCACAGAAATCAATGACATATTGTGTGTATGTGGCTATGTGTGACTTGCATTTCCAGTTTTATTGTGTCGCATAGATGGAGAACATGGGATTTCAAAAACTTAATATTATCTTTCATTGAGATGACTCGGCAATTATAATCAACCACATTTTTTCACTGTGTTTAACAAAACATTGAGAAGTTCTGTCAAAAACATTTTTTTGTAATTTTATTTATACTCTTTTGTATATTTTCATATTTTCCTGTAATGACTACTCCAAAAATAATGTCATAGTTTGAAAAGTTTTAATGATTATGCATTCAGTGTTCGATGTGCATTTTGTCTCTAGTCGGTGCTGAGAATATTCTCTATATTCATACATAGGGGGCGCTCTCTGCGACTGAAAGTATCCCCTATTTACTGTATTGTAAATGCATGTGCTGTGTAAACAAACTTGCAAGATGAGTGCACTTCTAGTGTGATCAAAACAAGCTTTTCTGCTTCTGTGTTTTTATTTGGGTTACATTTCTAAGTGATTAAATGTGTCCCATCACGTCATGGAAATTTCAGGTTGTGAAACAAGCATACATGTCTACACTTATCCCTGTTGATTCTTTTAAAGCGATACTGCCGTTTGAACTGTGCATGTACGTATCCCATGATTCTCTAGTTGGTCTTTACCTACATTTTGTACATTGCATGTTGTACGCCTTTCACAACATAAACATTGCTAACTGTTGCAATGTCAGAAACTAAATTTTACTAAAACAAGACTCGTAAATATAACATTCTGAGTTATTATATTGTCTGTATGCGTACGTACGTACAACTGGCTTTTAGCATGAAAACGTGTCACTGTCGTTATGCCATTCAAGGTTGTGTGAGCCTCCCTACCTACGTGCACAGTTCTGATAAACAGTGTTAGTGATTTAGATAATTTTACTTTTGAACTTGAAAGTTGAGAGCAACTAAAACTGGATGTTCTTGGCATTGAGTTTAGAGTACCATATTTGCTCTATTAGTGGTGCATGCATAAATGACTAATTTAGGCTGGTCAGAATGATTTTTTCTATCGGTAATAGTCTAGAATGCAGTAAATTAAAGTTTGTTTTACGTGTGCTTCTAGTGGAGATTCACTACAAATAGAGCAAAATCCAAATCTGTTGCTCAATAGATCCAGTCATTCTCAGAGTTGGTTGTTCAATCCCTGCTTCCCAATTAGGCAAATTATCACATACCATATATGGTTGTGTGCATAAATACAACTTGTGGTGCACTATGAGAAGTGGAATTTTGACTGTAGCTTAATCTTTTGGATTATTTTATGTTCGATCTGGTTAAGTGTTTAATGATAAATTATTTTTGTATAAATTTGTGTGTTTTTGATGTATAGGTGCAAAGTGTAGGAAAGCCATTGATCTTGGCTGCACGTCGCTTTGTGTACTAGAATTATTGTACACTGTGATATTCAAAGCATGTGTTTATTTATGCGTGTTTTTTGTTTTCGTTTTTTGTAATACTTTTTATTTTAGTAAAACCTGTCAAAACTGACTTCGAATACTGTATCCTAGCGACATATCTTTTGCATACATTTGGTGTACTTTTATTTCAAATTCTGACTTTAAACGGGCAATGCTGCGAATTTCAATTCAATAATTTGTTTAATATTGCATTTTGTTAATAATAGGCTATTTATTGTAATGTAAAAACATTATTATAGCAGCAGCAAACTTGAAAATCGTTGTTCACATATGCTTTGATCACCAGTGTATATGCAAATCTCGTGGAGTGCTCATTTGCATTAAATTCATTCAACTACTGTTTGCTTCAGGCAAAAAAAAAATGTTGCGAGTCTGGGGAAACCACCAAGTTTTGGA